TACTAATTTCATACAATATGTGCCTGCAGTCTGGAATGGAACAGTTTACTGTACTGACAACTAAATATATAACACAGTAAGAAGCAGAGGTAATGAAACTAGTTAAACACATTATATATTGTGTAACTTACTTTATTCCACTGAAGTGCATAATACTCAAAACTATTGATGCCTTGATAAAGAAAAGGATAAAGAAATCCACCATCTCTGCTATAAATCGATGAGCCAAAGATGGGATAATGTATTCACGACCTGAACGAAAACAAATAATTCATTTTGCATTAAATATTATTGAATAAACTCTGTAATATAAGATCAGATTAATAAATATTTCATTTTACACACTATTTTAGATCTGTGCTCAAGTGACGCAGTAATAAACTCATGCTTAAGAAGATAGGGACACAATTGGAAATTGTACTAGATTATGCATTTTACACAGATAATTCATTATGTGATCTTTTGATATAATTCTGCTCTTCCAAAGGTGGCTGCGATGTACACAAGGACTTCTCAAAGGGTTGAACACTAACCATCTTCTGCTGTGCCATGCTGTTCTCAGACCATTCACTCAGAGTTAATGTCTAACTGACCTGAAATATCAAGCACTGTCTCATAAGACATCATAACCCTTTCCTTACCAATGCCAATCTTGCATCTTTATGCTAGGCACCTTGCCAGGACTAGACCACTGGAAATGGAGAACCAAACAACTCTTGGTTTTATCTGAAGGTCTGATCCTAGCCATGCTTTAAAGGAGCAGCAGGGTACCTTATATCAGGAAGGCACTGTACAAGAGACTGATAAGAAAAGCCTACATGGAATCTCTCATTTCACAGATACAGAAATAAAAAATCCAAGGGCCATTTGATGCTGTTTAGTTTGCTATGACGATTAACAACTAACACTGTTACCAGGCATGCAGAGCCATTACAAAACCACTGTACTGCTCCCATTAGAGTATTTCAGTAAGTATCAGTTCCTGGCCACCATCCTCAGCAGCAAACCAGAAACCTATTCTCCACTGTCCAATTGACCAGGTTAATGAGTTAGCTACAGGAAAAAGCACTCTGCCCATTTCTCTGCTGTTACATTATTCTGAAAACTTTAAAACTGAGGAATGAATCCAGTTTTAAGTATATCCAACAGGGCTGATGGAGAAAGACTTCTTCACTATGGTATTCCCACAGCAACCTCTCAAGGCAACTGAACATGGTATTAGGTGGAGAAAACAGTTGATTAACAGACTGCTAGACAGGAAGCTGAAGAGGTAGGATAGAGATCCTGCAAAATGATCAGATGCACCTTCCATGAACAGAGCTCCACTCCAAGAAATTCCTCAGCCCAATTTTCAGAGACTCTCTTCTTCCCACTGTAACTTCCTCATTATGTAAGTTCTCTTGTCTCTAGGTGGTAATTTTATTTCATTTATTCATTCTATTTGTATACCATTGAATCAATACAAACTCACAGTGATTTACAATCGACAAAAACATTTCGAGCAACCAAAATAAACATTAATACATTAAAATAATAAAAAATAATAAAAGCTACTACAATACATGGATAAATAATGAAAAATAAAACAAGTCATACCAAAACAACAAAAAAAGCAATTAAATCATTTTAAGTAATCATAATGACATACATTAAAGTTGGTAATAACAAACTTTTCAACCAAATGCTCTTTGGAAAAGTTATATCTTCAATCGTTTCTGGAATGTTAGAAGAGATGGAGCAAGTCTCAGTTTGAAGGAGAGAATATTCTACAAAGCCAGAGCAACAACTGAAAAACAGCACATCCTGGCAACCATCCTCCTTACTTTATGAAAGTGGGGTATGACCAAAAGCTTCTCCTGAGAAGGTCAGGTCAATTCAGATACAAGGACATGGTTCTGTGGGGACCTAGGCACTAATTCAGTGAGGGATGAAAAGAAGGGCTGCTTTGAGGGAGGGAGCACAAAAGTCCACTTTTATTAGTCTAGCTCTCCATGCTTAGAAATATATCTGAACAGTTACAGTCGAAGTATAACTATATATTTCTTCTCTTTCTGTATTTAGGGTGCACTCAACCCATACTGCAACATAGATTATAATTCCTTCATTGTATTCATCTATCATTCTTCCACAACCATCTTTACCACATATTTCTAGAGTGGTCCCACTAACTTTAATGAGTCCAAATTTGAATTAAATATGATTTAGTTGCACCCATTTTGTTAATCAAACTTCAAAGTGAGAGTGAATTGAGGACTAACCTGCGCTTCCAACCTCTGGGAAAAAAAAAAGGGACACAGACAGAAACTTAGGAGCAATCCTATTGTTCTTTTTTATTTTCCTTTCCATTACACTCACAGAAAACAAACAAGCCATATAATTTTAGCAAGAGGCTAAGATAGGAAAATGACTGCTTCCTGTTTAACCTGAGCTTAAGTTCATTCATTCATCTTCTGCAGCATTAATGCATAAGCCTCTTACACAGTAAGAGCAACTGTGTTGTTCTATGACAATGGGACTTTTGGCATCTGTGCAACTAATACATTCTTCATTATTCTTTCCACCCAATCTCACTGGGTTCACATTGTCTCCACGTCCATCTGGGTTTATGTGCTCCAAAATTAGGATATTTTATGCATCTGATAAAGTGGATTCTAAATTGCAAAATCTTTTGTTGCAAAAAGCAAATTAAGTCTTTAAGAGACCACAAACCTCTTCATAAATGAGTTACCCAGTATACAATATACACACCTCTCCCTTCCCCAGACTTCTACTTCAGCCCTGACTAATAGCAGGAAATCTGGTGCCCTGCAGATGGGTTAAAACTTCCACACCCATAATTTGCACACTGGCAACAGCAGCCAGGATTAACGGGAGTTATAGCCCCAAGCATATGTCCAGCATCAAAATGCCCACCCCTGCACCATCCTTTCCACCCACGTCAAAACTTGCAAGGTCTTCTGCCGAGCCCCTCCTCCCCCCTTTCTTCTTCATTTGGAAGAAAGACTCACCTGCTGGTCGCCCAGGCTCCCGTTGGGAGCTGCCGGGACGGGCAGCGACGGTGGGGGCGGGGCGCTGCGCGAGGGGCGCGTGCCGAGCCGGGGGCGGGGGCCAAGTAGGGGCCACGCGGGTGGGCACAGGGCTGACCTCGGGGGCAGGGGAGGTCGCGAGGAGGTAGTAGCAGGGGCTGCCGCTGTAGTAGTAGGCGCCAGTGGGCGGGGCTGAAGCCGCCGCGTTCGCGGCTCCGGCC